CAGGTTTGATGTGCTTAATTCTTCTCCTTTACCTTTATTAAATGATTCTCTTTCGGATACTGTTCTCTGGGGGGATGATTTTACTTCTTGTTCGAGATTTGAAGTTCGTAATGCTTGGGCATCGTTGGATGGTGCTTATCCGGTTGTACCATGGCATAAATCGGTTTGGTTTTCTGGTCATATACCTAAACATGCTTTTTGTTTATGGCTTGCATGCCAGCGACGTCTTCCTACTCAAGACCGTTTACTTTGGAAGGATGAACCTCCTGACCTTGAGTGTTCMCTTTGTGGTCAGASTCTGGATAGCCATGCACATTTATTTTTCCAGTGTACTTTTGCTCGTGAAGTTTGGGGCAACGTCTTACGTATTGTTGATATGACTTCTTTGCCTTATGTGTGGGACCAAATCTTGGAAAATCTTTCGGATTCTACTCATCGTCCAAAGCGTTTAAAGCAGAAACTTGCGGTAGCTGCTTCGGTTTATTTCATTTGGCAGGAACGGAATAGAAGACTTTTCTCTGAGGATCGTCGGAATATTGAGCAGRTTATCCAAGCCATTGTTCAGGCCGTTGAAATTCGTGTGGCTTGGTTGGAGAAGCGGTTAATTGGCAATACTGGTTGATTTTTATGGGTTTTTGCTGTGTTAAGGGAGCTTTTGTGCGTTTTCAGCTCCTTTTCTTTATTTTTAGTTGTTTGTTTGCGTCGGTTGGGCTTTGTTTGTTTTGGYTTTTGGTGGCTTGGTATGGGTTCTTCCAAGTCATTTGTTTTTTGTTGTGTTGGTAGTGGTCTGTTTTTGGACGCTTTGCTGTAATTTCCTTTATGTTTTATAAAATTGCCTGGTTTCCGATTAAAAAAAAAAAAAAAAAAAAGGTCTGATCAAACTAAATATGACCAAATTAGTGTCATTTTTAATGAATTACACTCCTTATGCATAAATAGGCCTTTTAAATCCATTTTGGTCTAATCAAATTAGTTAATGATCCATTTGGTGTCATTTTAAATAAATTGACTCGATTAAAAGCAATAGGCCTGTAACACCCCCAAACACCACATTTGCATATAACACATATTTCATTACATGGAAATAAAAATTACATCACAAGGTCCCACTAGTACAATGATTCTTATATGTAAAAAATCTACATATGAAAAATTTCCTAAACAAAATCTTGTACTATCACATGTAATACCACATATACTATCCAAAATAGACAATCTCAAGCAGATATTCAAAAGCAGATATCAGATTAGGAAAAATAATCACATTTTCCTTTCCCCTTATTATCCCTGGCCCCTGCCGTTCCTACATTGCATATTTTTAAAACAGAAAATGAGAGTTAGACCAGAGAGGTCTAGTGAGTAAATCACTTCTTTGCAAATGCAGGGTGAAAAAACACCAAAATATAAATAAAATATCTTTGCTCAGATATATTTGCAATTTAATCAGGCAATGCAGTTTTCAATGATACGAATAACAGGATAAACTTTACAACATCAATTCATGTTACTAAAATGCATCTGCTTAAAGATTCAATATTCTCAATATAAAATATTATAACCATAGTCTATTTGATTCAACAAACTATTCCTTTGAAAATTTTAATGGAAAGATTTAAGGTCATACTTTTCCTTTATGACAAACCATTTTCCCCTTCTCAATAACATCTAAATAATTATTTCTAATAGAAATAATATCTCTAATTCATCAGGTCACAAAGAAATGATGACTCAAAGTTATTAATCCAATTAGTAACAATAATAAGAGTTATAATAATATCCACATATGACAATGCCTCCCTTATTCTATGTACACCTTGATATGACAATGCCTCTCTTATTCTATGTACACCTTGATATGCCACCCTAGTTCCTCCATTCAAAACAGGGCTACTTCTCAGAACAGAAAAAAGTCACCACGTCTGTAAGTACTCATTCCCAGTTCCAAGCCAAAACAAACAACAGTCACCACGTCTGGGGGAACTGCTTCTTAAAACAAGTTGTAATGCCCCAACCCACACATTGCATGTAACACATATTTCATACCAAAGAAATACATATTCATATACATCTGGGTCCCTTAGTACAAGAATCTATCAT